TCAGCAGGCGGAGGAGGTCCAGCTGCTCAGAGATTCTCTGGAGAGCCTGAGGAACAACTTCAGGGACCACGCCCCACAGCACCACACCCTGGACACACTGGAGCAGGGCATCGTGTCCCTGATGGACAGACTGCAGGTCCTGCACGCTCACAGGGTGAGATATGATTGGACGCTGAGTGTTTGTCTGAACTGGAGGAGAGAGAAAGAACTCAGAGAATCTTCTGGAATCTTTTCTCCAAAACTGCAGGGAAGAGTCAGTTCTCCACGCCGCAAAGGTCAGCGCTCAGACCACGACCCCTGGTCCTGTACAAGTGAGTTCTGCCCACGTCCCCGTCCTGCCCACGCACCAGATGTTTACTTTCACTACAAACACTGATGTGTGTTTGTTTCTGTCAGAGCCTCAGAGTGGGTCTGCTGCTGCTGCTGCCACCAAGATACTCTACTTCACTGGGAAGTCGGCCACTCCATCCATGATCACTATACACAAAAGGTTAGTGTGTGTGTGTGTGCGCTTCTAAAAGTAAAGGTTCCACTGGTATCTTTATCTCAAAGCTGATTGGCTGGTTACAGACCTGTCAGTGAGTCAGTCTCTGTGAGTCTCTGTCCTCTGAGTCCAGACTGGGTGAAGTCACGCTGAAGGACGTGAAGGCAGCAGTGGACCAGGAAGGAAACTACAGGTACCACTTCAAGGCCCTGGACCCCGAGTTTGGCACAGTGAAAGAGGAGGTAAATGAATAAGTCATAAATAATTCCTCTGATACTGAAGTAAAACATGACAGAAATCACAGTTATAATAATAATAATAATAATAATAAGACTATTTGTGGCAGCCGCTCTCTCTCTCTCTCTCTCTCTCTCTTTCTCTCTCTCTCTCTCTCTCTCTCTCCACCTTGGTTTGTCGTCTTTTTATGTATTTTCTCACAGAAATACATCTTAAAAATATTTACCCATGAGGTCTTGTCTGCCCTGCAGGTCTACCTGGACGGGGCAGTTGTTCCAGGATGGGAAGGAAAAATAGTGGCCTGGGTGGAGGAGGACCGAGGTGATGAAAGGTCAGTACTGTCTGTCACTGGAACAGAACTTCTGGTACCAGGAGACCCCACTCATCGCCTCCTGTCTGTCTCAGACCCCTGTAGGTTCTGGACACGTCAGTATCACAAAGGTCCAGCAGGACTGTGGAAAGGTTAAGTACTGGTCAGTACTGGTCAGTACTGGTACTGAAGGGTCTGGATGACGTCATGCCACAGAGAGAGTGTGAAGGAACCGTTGTAAAAGTCAGTGCCTTCAGAGTGACTGCAGCAGAGGAACTGGCCTCAGATCGTCCAGCAGGTGGCAGCGTCTCCTTCTGTTCCTCCTGCAGCTGCGTCACCTCAATGTCGTACACTGTTGTTTAGGACAGTTACAGTTACAGCTGATTATGTGAATGATAATCTCGTTTAAAAAAAAGGAAATATTCCGAGACACGTACTACTGCAAGTATTACCTTTTGTATTATTGAAATGTAAAAGAAAACTGTAAGAAAACACACGTGAATGTATTCCAACATTTAGGAAAAACTTAAAACTACTGTCGATGAAATCTACTTTTTTTTTGTTCTGGTAGAAAATCCCATGATCAGAGTCGTAGCTGAGTTATTTACTTGATGAAGTAGTTGTGAATATTTGTGTAAAATATTTTACTGTATTCCTGAATTTTGAGACGTTAATAGACGAGGCTGTTTTTTAGAGACATGTTTGTGCTGTAATGACTGTGAAGACCAGTCTGTAGACTGTCTTCCACAGACTGGTCTTCCACACAGTAACTTCATCTTCCGTTCAGCATCATTCTCACTGCCATATGTTCTGTCGTCACGATGACTTGGTTATTTTGGCTTCTAGAAAATCATCATTCACTGGTTTTATATCTGTTTGACGATAGAAAGACACTGTATTTTGTAATAAAATGTTGTTTTAAAAAATAATTGTTATTGTAGTTATTACAATATATATATATATATTATATACTATCTTCGCGGGTTTTATTTAATTCTTTGTTAATTCTGTATTTAGGCAAACGTTCTTTCTATACGATAGGTTTTAATAAAATACCGTAGTAACGTAAAACGTTTTTTGTACATAATATAATTTGTCGTAAATCATACGCTTTAACGAATAGTTTTGAAATAAATCAGACTCAGAGTGGGTTATACACAAAAGGTTAAGTAGAAAATGGATGGATGGATGGATTTATAAAGTGAAGTACTTTGCGCTTGGATTTTAAAAACACGTTTTACGACAGTGATCTGTCGAAATGCGGCAGGGCAGGCAGCAGGGCCGTCACGCGTTGGGAGGAGGAGGTCATTGGAAAGTGAGGAGGAAGAAACGGGCAGGTACTCGGTGAACGGAGCCGCTCGGTGTCGCTCGTCTCACATGTCGCTGTAATAAAAACACATTCTTCAGCCGTGTGTCGTTATTTAACCGCTGCTCAGATGCTTCGTCTGGTCCTGCGGCTCAGGCCGTCCGCCCGGATCTCCTGTCCCCGTGTCCTCCCGGCTGGGCCTGGCGCCGCCGGCCGGTCTGTTCCCGGAACCGTTTGTCTGAGACGGCTTCACCGCTCAGCCGCCTCCCGGGCCGCATGTCTGGGCTCCGGGGCCGGCCACAGAGCGGCTCTGCTGCGGTGCCCACAGCTCGCTGGCGTCGGTCAGACTCAGCGGTTCTACAGCCTTCCTCCACACCAGAAGGTAACGTCGGTCTCCGGTGACAGTTAGCATGACCTCCGCCGTTAGCAGCGGCCAGCACCGTGAAGTTAACGAGGCCGAATATGACGGCTTTTACGGGTCCGTTTATGAGTTAAAACCTGCTTCTGTTGTTGACATTAGGATAAGAACAGAATTAATTCGTTACTGAAACAGAACTGTCCCGGTGAGGAGGGGGCAGTTCTGCTCAGTCTGACACTAAGATCCAAGTGTCTTAGTATTTAACTCCAGGAACAGAAGAGTTGATGTGAGTCTTCAAACTGGAACAGTGTTGGTACTTGATGAACATTTACTGAGTCTATTGAAAGTACTGGAACTGTTGGATGTTCCACTTCTGTGGTGGAGGTTAAATCATGATTGGAATCTAATCTTTGACTTTATTTAAAACATGATCTTTTACATCTTCTTAAGGTTTCTGTCAATTATTGTTCTGGTCTCATTCGTGATGTAACGATGATGTGAATCGGTTTGACCTCTGACCTTCTCTGGACCAAACAGGTGGAGCTTCCCGCGCTGTCTCCGACCATGCAGACGGGAACCATCGCTCGCTGGGAGAAGAAGGAGGGAGAGAAAATCAACGAGGGAGACCTGATAGCTGAGGTGAGGAGGCGAGCTGGTGCAGCAGTGTTTGGTCCCCGGGGCGGTCACTGACACGTCTGTGTTCACAGGTGGAGACCGACAAGGCCACCGTGGGCTTCGAGATGTTGGAGGAGTGTTACCTGGCCAAGATCCTGGTTCCTGAGGGAACCAGAGACGTCACGGTGGGCGCCGTCATCTGCATCACCGTTGACAAGCAAGTTTGGTTTTTATTTATCTTTGAAAGAAATAGATGTTTTTAAATTATTAATAAAAATGTCTTTGATTCAGCGGCAGCTAAAGAAAGTTCTTTTATTTTTTTATCTCTACTGTGTGTGGGTGTACGTGTGGGGCGGGGGCCACAGTCCTGACCTGGTCACTGCCTTTAAGGACGTTACACTGGATTCACTGAAAGCAGCTGGAGCTGCTGCTCCGTCTGCTGCTCCTGCGTCTCCTTCTTCACCTCCTCCACCTGCAGCTGCTCCTCCTGCGGCCCCTGGCAGCTCCTACCCTTCACACATGAAGGTTTGTGTCAGTCGATGAACTCCTGTGGTTCCCAAAGTGGGGGGCGGGTCCTCGAAGAAGGTGCACAGCTGTGGAGATGATTTAGAATTATAAACAACAACAATAACAACTACGGGGTCCAGTGTCAATGCCCCCCGGGGGGGGGGGTAATCACTGGTAAATAATTCAAATGAATATGTCAATGCCCCCCCCACCCTCTAATGTGTGTGTGTGTCGCAGGTTGCCCCCCCGCCCTCTAATGTGTGTGTGTGTGTGTGTGTCACAGGTTGCCCTCCCCGCCCTCTCCCCCACTATGACCATGGGAACAGTGCAGCGTTGGGAGAAGAAAGTTGGAGAGAAGCTGAGTGAAGGAGATCTTCTGGCTGAGATTGAAACGGACAAAGCAACGATCGGTAAGAGTTTGAAAACTGGGGCTCCCTCTGGTGGTACAAGGGGGATCTGATCATCTGTTCAGTTGAGTCAGTTTTTATTATTGACAAAGTCAGTACTACATGAGAGAGTACTACGTGTTGTAGTACTACGTGTTGTAGTACTACGTGTTGTAGTACTACGTGTTGTACAGTGTGTTTCTGTCCTGTCTTCTGAATTGTCTTCGTGGTCTGGTCTTCTCTGAGCTGCTGGTCAGACTGGTGGTACTGGGAGAGAGGGGTGTAGTTGGAGGTAGTACATGGAGTATAAAGTACTTATTCACTGTGTGTGTGTGTGTGTGTGTGTTCAGGCTTTGAAGTACAGGAGGAAGGATATTTGGCCAAAATTCTCGTGGCAGAAGGAACTCGAGACGTTCCTCTGGGAACGCCGCTCTGCATCATCGTAGAGAGAGAGGGTGACATCATCGCCTTCAAGGACTACGTAGAAACTGGTGTGGCTGAAGTTTCCACGCCTCCACCTGCACCAGCAGCAGCACCGGTACCAGTGACAGACCAGTGACAGACCAGTGACAGACCAGTGACAGACTCATCAAGTCTTGGTTCTGGTTCGAGTCGCTTCATAAACACTGTATTAGTGCATTCTTTGGACAACAGGTGGCGCCAGAGTATCAGCCCTCTAGTGGTCATATAGATGTAATATATTTATGAGCCTCTTGAACCAGATCAAAGACCTCATCAGACTGTGTGTGTGTGTGTGTGTGTGTGTGTGTGTGATTCATTCTTGTACTTGTTGTTGTGCCAGCCTCCACCTCCTCCTCCTCCTCCTGCTGCTCCTCATGCTGCTCCTGCAGCGACAAAGAAGGGCCGAGTGTTTGCCAGTCCCCTGGCCAAAAAACTGGCTTCTGAAAAAGGGATTGACCTGACACAGGTCGCAGGTCAGGGGTCAACACACACACACACAATTAGCGCATGTTCTTTTTTTAACATTTATCAGCCAATAAAACCAAAAATGCACCAAAACAAACAAACAAAGGTCTGACCCTGGAGGACGATTGTTGTCATTACAGTTTTACATTTGTCAACATCAGACTTTTGTCCACATCTGTTTCCTGTTCTCCAGGAAGTGGTCCTGACGGACGGGTCACCAGGAAAGACATCGACAGCTTCGTTCCACCAAAGCCTGCAGCAGTAAGTCTGACCTCTACTAGGTTAGTTATTAGTTAACTCCTGGTTATGATCAGATGTGATTAATGTTCATGAGTCTCTCACCTCCCAGGCTGCACCTCCTGCTGCTCCTCCTGCTGCTGCTGCTCCTGCTCCTGCTCCCGTCACTGGAACCTTCACAGACATCCCCATCAGCAACATCCGCAAGGTGGGTTCACACACACACACACACACACACACACTAGGTTCACAAAAATGACTGCCACCTAGAGGACGTAACGTGAGCTCCAACAGGTTCTGACCAAAAACACTGATCCACCGTCACAGCCTGGTCGGCTCTGATGATTTTGGACCACGGTTCTGATGGACTGTTGGTCTGTTTCAGGTCATCGCTCAGAGGCTGATCCAGTCCAAACAGACCATCCCCCACTATTACCTGTCTGTAGACGTCAACATGGACCAAGTGCTGGAGCTGAGGAAGGAGCTGAACGCTGTAGGTCTTTGAGAACGCTGCTTCTTCCTCCTCCTCCTCCTCCTGTTTAAACTCCTGTCTGACTCCCTCTGCAGGAGGTGAAAGCTCAGAACATCAAACTGAGCGTCAATGATTTCATCATCAAAGCCAGTGCTCTGTCCTGCCTCAAAGTCCCAGAATGCAATTCTTCCTGGATGGACACAGTCATTCGTCAGTGAGTCTGATGAAATATTGATCTATTTTTATTATTCTTTTTCATTTCTTCTGGTACAAAGTCATGTGACCAAGTGCTGGAACTATGAGTTCGTCATTTCATGATTTCACGAGACTAAAGAATTTCTGAGGTGACCGTTGTTGAATATTTCCCAGGAACCACGTGGTGGACGTCAGTGTAGCGGTGAGTACGGCCAGCGGTCTGATCACGCCCATCGTGTTCAACGCCCACGTCAAAGGTCTGGCCTCCATCAGCTCCGACGTGTCTGCTCTCGCCGCCAAAGCCAGAGAAGGGAAGCTGCAGCCACACGAGTTCCAGGTACCGATCACATGATCTGATCACATGATCTGATCACATGATCTGATCACATGATCTGATCTGATCACATGATCTGATCACACGTGATCTGATCACATGATCTGATCACGTGATCTGATCACATGATCTGATCACATGATCATTCTCACACTGCTCCACCGCTGACTCTGAGAACGCCTTGACGTTTCCTTCCATCTCCACCAGGGGGGGACGTTCACGATCTCAAACTTGGGAATGTTTGGGGTCAAGAACTTCTCGGCCATCATCAACCCGCCCCAGGCCTGTATCCTGGCGGTGGGCGGCTCAGAGAAGCGGCTGCTGCCGGCTGACAACGAGAAAGGGTGAGCGTTGAAGACGGAAACGTTGTCCGTTTTTACCGAACACATCCTGACCAGGTTGATCTGTGTGTTTCGGTGGATCAGGTTCGACGTGGCCAGCGTGATGTCAGTGACGCTGAGCTGCGACCACCGGGTGGTGGACGGCGCCGTCGGAGCGCAGTGGCTCGCCGAGTTCCGCAAGTTCTTGGAGAAACCCGTCACCATGTTGTTGTAACCAGACAAACAGGAAGTTCGGCAGTGATCAGAACCACGGTGGGTCCTCCTGTGATTGGTCCAGCCTGACCACCAGGCCACGCCCATTTACTCTGAAGAGGAAGAGACAGCGCCCCTGTCTGTCTCTCTGTCACCCTCTCTCTCTCTCTCTCTCTCTCTCTCTCTCTCTCTCTCTCTCTCTCTCTGATCTTCTATTTATTCTGCTTCCTCTGCATCTGTTTATAACCTGTCCCAGAAATAGAGACTGGTCATAAAAATCATTCAGGTTTTTATTTTTTATTTTAAAGAGAAATGTTACATTATGAAAATGGCCAACAACATGTCTGATATCAGTGTGTGTGTGTGTGTGTGTAAATGAGTGAGATAGAGAAGATGGGGGGGCGGGGGGGGGGGGGGGAGCGGGGCAGCTCTTCTACAACTCACTTTAGTTTTTTATCCTAATCTAAAAACGGCCAGCAGGGCGGCGCTGCAGGTTAGAGTCCACCCTCGGCTCCTGTCCTTCTCTGTGATTGGACACCGTGCCGCGTGTGTGTTTAAATATGTAAATGCTGGAGAGAGGTTTGGTTTAGAAGACCCAAACAGAACCGACCCGGTCTGTGGTTCTGCCCTGGTCACACCTGACTGACAACAGACCATCTCACAACAACAGCCTCGTTCACACTGTTGCCGACTGTTTTCATTTTCTCTCGTCTCGGAGTAAAAACATGTGGAAAACTGTGTTTTGCAGCTAAAACGCACAAATACTGGATCTGGGTCTTTGTTGTCGTGTGACATTTCATTTGTAATGAGAAGAAACACTTTGAGAACGAGTATAAGGTTCAAAGAAAGTACTGAATATTTGTCACTCCAGAAAAACCCACGGCCTCCGTCTGTGCGTCAGATTCTCTGCTTATTTCATCGTTTCTCACTCAGTAAAACGGACTCTGCCAAACACACCGTCTTCTTGGCCTCTCATTTTCAAATGTCTTAATTCATGTAATTAATGTTTTACCGTTCACCTCTGTTGGTTATTTAACTTGTTTCTACATCTTGTCACATAAAAAGGAGGAAGATTTTTACTTTAGAAAAGTCTGGGATATTTGAGAATAAAGTAACGTTATAAAAATAGATTTATAAAAAGGTTCTCCAGCTAAATGTTCTGTGAATTCTCCACAGGAAGTTAGCATATTTTAGTTACGTTATTCGTTTGGGAGAATAAATTCATCAAGTATCACAATAAACTTTTTTTTCTTTTTGCCAGAAAAGAGTTGTAGAAGAATTAAAAACGTGTCTAACATCAACTTCCACTCTCCCGATGTTCCAGAAGGGGGCGTTACTTCGTCACTGCAACGTTTATCTGGAACATTCGTTCGATTCGACTCAGTTTAGTGTTAAAATAAATAAAAAACTAAACACGAAGCTGCACGGGATTTGTTTCCGGTCGGAGCGCTATACGTGCGACACCGTCTCATAGCCTAGCCGCGGCTACAAGTTTACTTTAATGAATGAATATTTTCTCTTATTTCCTTCAAACATGTTCTGTTGCAGCGGTTAAAAACACACGTTAACGTCAGTATCAGTCGGTGTTCAGTGACGGACGTTTCTTTACCAACGTCCACATCGTAATGAATTAGTTCGACTGTGGGACCGTCAGGACAGGGGACACCGGCGGCTGACACGGCTCGGTGTCGTCACACGGTAGTCGATTGTAATGATTGCAGATCAATATCGTTAAACTATCGACTTTCCCTTTTTGTTCATTCAAGTCCAGAGGGATTTTATTTCTATTTTTTAGTCCGAGTGTCTGGAAATGTCTCCGCCTCGGTCTCTGCTGCTGGTGGGAGAAGGAAACTTCTCCTTTTCTGCGTCCACGAGTCAGATGTTCTCCGGAACAGACGCCCGTGTGACGGCCACCTGTCTGCAGCAGCAGGAGGACGCGCTGAAGTTCGAAGGAGCGGCCGAGAACATCCAGGTCGTCGAGGACCACGGTAGGAGCCTGTTGGTAACACCTGGACACAACAGCCATGACGTCAGAGGGACAGAACGGCTGTAGGTTTGAAGGCCGAGGTGATGAGGGGACATGTTGAAGCCCTGTGAATGACAGCTGTGGTTTTATTATTATTATTATTATTATTATTATTATTTATAATAGTATATTATTATTATTATTATATATATATATATTATTATATAATAGTATATTATTATTTATATTATTGGAGTTGTTCCTGGTTGAACCTGGACCTGATGGTGACCCTTGGTTTAAACCTTGGTTTAAACCTTGGTTCAAAGTGACGAGAGCTTTTATTTATTTGATGACTTGTTTCCTGTTTGACGTCTTCCAGGTGGGAGGGTCATTTTTGGGGTGGACTGCACCCAGCTGCAGGAGTGCTCCTCCCTGAAGGGCCTCCTCTTTGACCGTATCCTCTTCAACTTTCCTCACTGTGGCAGAAAGTCTGGTGTGAAGAAGAACAGAGAGCTTCTCAGGAACTTCTTTCTCAGGTGCGGTACTCACGATACGATACGACTCGCAATTTTCTGTTCACAATACGAATCATTTGTTTATTTTATGAGAGCCGACCCCTGATTGGTCGGACCGTACCTGAGCGTCTCAGTCTCTTTCACCCGTCTGTGCTCAGCTGTGTTCAGCTGTTGGCCGAGGGAGGAGAGGTCCACGTCGCCCTGTGCAACGGACAGGGGGGGACACCGGCGGACGAGCCACAGCGAGAGCGTCACAACAGCTGGCAGCTGGTCGCCATGGCAGCGGAGGCGGACCTCGTCCTCAGTGACGTCCAGCCTTTTCAAGGAGGGAAACACCAGAGCTACAAGTGCACCGGGTACAGGTAAGGAGTGAAGGTGAGTGATGAAGAGGAGGAGAGCAGGAGTCACCTGTCTGTCTGACCCTGACGCTGCTGCTGCTGCTGCGGTTGCCGCTGCTCCACAGGAGCCAGGACAAAGGCTTTCATGTGGACAAAGCTCTGCTCCACGTGTTGACTCGCAGCGCCCCCTACGTTCAAGCTCAGCTGGTGAAGATGGAGGAGGTCGTTGGAGAGGAGAAGGTCCAGTACAACGTACCAGCAGAACTCCATGAATATTTATTCAGGTACAGCTGGACATCTGGACAATGGACCGACAGCAGGCATGGTGGGCTGGGAATCGGGGATAA